CAAGTTTCCCAGATTCTGAAGCAACTAATTCAAAGATGGAAAGCAGATATTTCCTAACTTTACCTAACTAGAATTACGTTACTTTAGCTAACCTAACCTAACCTAACCTAACACCTAACCTAACCTAACCTAACCTAACCTAACCTAACCTAACCTAACCTAACTAACCTAACCTAACCTAACCTACCTAACCTAACCTAACCTAACCTAACCTAACCTAACCTAACCTAACCTAACCTAACCTAACCTAACCTAACCTAACCTAAACCTAACTAATAACCTAACCTAAACCTAACCTAACCTAACCTAACCTAACCTAACCTAACCTAACCTAACTAACTAACTAACCTAACCTAACCTAACCTAACCTAACCTAACCTAAACCTAACTAACCTAACCTAACCTAACCTAACCTAACTAACCTAACTAACCTAACTAACCTAACCTAACCTAACCTAACCTAACCTAACCTAACCTAACCTAATAACCTAACCTACCTAACCTAACCTAACTAACCTAACTAACCTATCTAACCTAACCTAACCTAACCTAACCTAACTAAACCTAACTAACTAACTAACCTAACCTAACCTAACCTAACCTAAAACCTAACCTAACCTAACCTAACCTAACCTAACCTAACCTAACCTAACCTAACCTAACCTAACCTAACCTAACTAACCTAACCTAACCTAAACCTAACCTAACTAACCTAACCTAACTAACTAACCTAACCTAACCTAACCTAACCTAACCTAACCTAACTAACCTAATAACTAACTAAACCTAACTAACCTAACCTAACCTAACCTACCTAACTAACCTAACCCTAACCTAACTAACCTAACCTAACCTAACCTAACTAACCTAACCTAACTAACTAACCCTAACCCTAACCTAAAACCCTAACTAACCTAAACCTAACCTAACCTAACCTAACCTAACCTAACCTAACCCAACCTAACCTAACCTAACCTAACCTAACCTAACTAACTAACTAACTAAACCTAACCTAACCTAACCTAACTAACCTAACTAACCTAACAAACCTAACTAACCTAACTAACCTCATCTAACCTAACCTAATAACCTAACCTAACCTAAACCTATCTAACCTAACCTAACCTAACCTCTAACTAACCTAACCTAACTAACCTAACTAACCTAACTAACTAACTAACTAACCTATAACCTAACCTCATCTAACTAACTAACCTAACTAACCTAACCTAACCTAAACCTAACTAACCTAAACTAACCTAAACCTATAACCTAACCTAACCTAACCTAACCTAACCTAACCTAACTAACCTAACCTAACCTAACCTAACCTAACCTAACCTAACCTAACCTAACCTAACCTATCTAACCTAACCTAACCTAACCTAACCTAACCTAACATCTAACCTAACCTAACCTAACCTAAACTAACCTAACCTAACCTAACCTAACCTAACCTAACTAACCTAACTAACCTAACCCTAACCTAACCTAACCATAACCTAACCTAACCTATAACCTCATCTAACTAACCCTAAACCTAACCTAACCTAACCTAACCTAACTTAACCTAACCTAACCTAACCTAACCTAACTAACTAACCTAAACCTAACCTAACCTAAACCTAAACTAACCTAACCTAACCTAACCTAACCTAACTAACCTAAACCTAACCAACCTAAACCTAACTAAACCTAACCTAACCTAACCTAACCTAACCTAACCTAACTAACCTAACTAAACCTAACCTAACCTAACCTAACCTAACCTAACCTAACTACTAACCTAATAACCTAACTAACTAACTAACTAACTAAAACCTAACCTAACCTAACCTAACCTAACCTAACCTACCTAATAACCTAACCTAACCTAACCTAACCTATCTAACTACTAACCTAACCTAACCTAACTAACCTAACCTCTAACCTAACTAAACCTAACCTAACCTTAACTAACCTAACTAACCTAACTAACCTAACTAACCTTAACCTAACATCTAACTCATCTAACTAACTAACCTAAACCTAACCTATAACCTAACTAACCTAACCTAACTAACCTAACCTGACCTAACCTACTAACCTAACCTATACCTAACCTATCCTAACCTAACTAACCTAACTAACCTAATCTAACCTAACCTAACTAACCTAACAACTAACCTAACTAACCTAACCTACTCTAACCTACTAATCCTAATCTAATTTAACTAACCTAACCTACTAACCTAACCTAACTAACCTAAACTAACTACTTAACCTAACTAACTAACCTAACTAACTACCTAACCTAAAACCTAAATCTAACTAACCTAACCTAACTAACCTAACCTAACTAACTATCTAACTAACTAACTAACAACCTAACCTAACCTCTAACCTAACTAACCTAACTAACCTAACTTAACCTAACCTACCTACCTAACTAAATAATAACCTCTAATAACCTAACCTAAACCTAACCTAACTAACCTAACCTAACCTAACCTAACTAAAACTAACCTAACCTAACCCTACTACCACCTAATTAACCTACCTAACCTCATCTAACTAACTAACTAACTAACTAACCTAATAACCTAACTAAACTAACTAACTAACTAACTAATTAACTAACCTAACTCATAACTAACTAACCTACCTAACCTAACTAACTACTACTAACTAATAAACTACTATTAACTAACCTACTAACTACTAACTAACCTAACTCATCTAACCTAACCTAATAACTAAAACCTAACCTCACTAACCTACACTATCCTAACCTCATCTAAGCAACTAACCAACTTTCTTCTCTCCTTCTTCCTTGCCTCCTCTTTCACTCTCCATTCCTTCTAACCCTTCCTCCCTCTCCTCGTTTTTCAATTCTCCTTCCCCCCCATTTCTCCATCTCTCCCTCTTTCCTCTTCCTCCATCTCTCCCCTTTCCTCCTCCTCCTCCTCTCCTTCTCCATGTCTCCCCTCTTCCTCCCTTCCTCCTTCTCCATCTCTCCCTCTTCTTCTCCTCCTCTTCTCCATCCTCTCCATCTTCTCCCTCCTCTCTCCATCTCTCACCCTAACCCCCTTCCTCCCTTCCCTCCCTCCCCCCTCCTCTCATCTCCTCTCTCCTCTCTCCCTCCCTCCCTCTCTCCTCTCCTCCCTCTCCCTCTCCCTCCCCTCCTTCTCCATCTCTCCCTTCTCCCTCCCTCCTCTTCTTCTCCTCTCCCCCTCCTCTCCATCTCCTCTCTCCCTCCTCTTCCCTCTCTTCCTCTCTTCTCCACCTTTTCCCCTCTCCCTCCCCTCCTCCTCCTCCTCCATCTCTTCCCTCTTCTAACCCCTTCCTCCTCCTCTTCCTCCCTCCCCCTCTTCCTTCCCTCCATCTCTCCCCTCTTCTAACCCCTCCCCTCCCTCCCCTCGCAGATAAGCATGTCCCCCTACAAGGCCAGTTGGGGGGAGCAGTGCAAGGCGGTGTTGAAGAGGTCAGTCATGGAAAACATCCGGGAACCGATGGTGTTGAGGGTGAAGCTCTTCCAGACGCTGGTGGGTTCGGGTGGTCGTATTTGCACACACACACACGCACATACGCACATATACACGCACATGGACATGTACATGCACACGAACATGCACACACACACACATATACACGCACACACACACACATGCACATGCACACGCACACACACGCACGCACGCACGCTTACACAATCACACACACGCACATGCACATCCACACACACACACAAACACACACCCACACACAAACACACACACACACGCGCATCTATATGAGTTCTCAGCTAAACAGACTAACGCATAAACAATCACAAACAAGTACTTAACAAATCACTCAAATAATTTCAAATCAAATTCAAAATAATCAAATACGTAACAAATCCATAGAGCAAAAGCTAAGTAAATAAAAAATAAAACCAAGTCAGATCTCATCTCCAAACAGCCTCCAATAGTGACGTGAACGGCGGCCATGTTATACGATAAGATACAACGTTATCTTAATTGGGTAAAAGGTTTCGGTCAATTTAATCGCAAAGTGGGATTCAAAACATGTGTAAGTGGGTTTATATTTCACAAAAAAAAGTTAATAGTTAGATAAATTGTGATAAATGAAGTGGTATAGGAATCAATAACAAAAATATAAGAAAAATATATATGTATATATATCTAAATTGATTAAATTTAAATTAGATTGAATTCAAATTAAAGTAATAAATAAACAATATATATATAGTTAAGTTGAGAAATGGGTTGATAGCAATATAGATAGACAGACAAGTAGATACATAGATAGATAGATGAATAGGTGGAGATATTGATAGATGGGTAGATAGAAAGACAGACAAAAAGACAGTCAGGTAAATGATAGACAGACAGATAGATAGACAGACAGATCAACTGCTAGACAGATTGACAAACAGATAGATAGATAAATACACAGACAGACCGATAGATAAATACACATACAGGCAGCTAGATAAATAGACAGACAGGCAGACAGAATGATAGAACTTTAGACAGACAGACAGACAGACAGACAGAGAGGAAGACAAATAAATCGATAGCAACATCTTCAAAGCACGCAAAGGCTGATCCCGTTTTCTATCTCTCCAGCTGATCTCGCTCTTGGTGGGACTAATCTATTTGGATCAAGGCAACGACTACATTGGGGTTTCCAATATCAACGGCGCTATATTTCTACTTCTCACTCAGATGAGCTTTAGCAACACATTCGGAGTGGTTAATGTAAGTTTTGTGTATTTTATCTGTATTTTTTAAGGTCAGGATTTGTAATTTCAGCACTAATATCTCACGACCAGTTTGTATATACGAATAATTGTATATACTGACATGCTATATACACATAAATAAATGCATATCTGTCTATCTATCAGATATATATATATATATATATATATATATATATATATATATATATATATATATATATATATATACACACACACATTTATCTCTTGATTTATACGGTAGATCTTCATATCTATATTGATAGTTATGTATGTATTTCTGTGTAAATGCATGTCTGTAAAATTAATGTTTATTGGGTCGAGCTTCACATAATTCTAACAAACCGTCCGTTGGTGTTTATATATTTCTTTGTGGTTGAATTAACATTTGTCAATATCATCTGTCCATTTATTTGTCATTCCAACTCTCATAATCTCATTTTATAGCATCTATCCTTCTATCCTTCTACCAATTCCTTTATCTGTTCATCTATCTATCCATCTTCTACTCCCCACTTTCCATCTTTATAGCATTCATTCCTCCATCCTTTCATTTGTCTTTTCATCTATCCATCCATCTGTCTACCCTCTTCATATCTTCTATCCCCAGTATCTATCCATCCATCTATCTAAACCTCCTTCACATTCCTTTCATCCCCATCCACTCACTATCCATCCATCCATCTATTAATCCACCTTACCTCACCTCACTCTCTCCCCCTCCCCCTACTCACCAGGCCCCACCCATCCACTTCATCCACCCACTGATTTCATCCATCCACCCACCCTACCGCCTATCCCATACATCCTCCTATCCATCTACCCACCCTCACCGCCCATTCCACCTCCCCCAACCCACTCTACCACCCTCTCTCTCACTCTCCCCTTTCCCCCAACCCACTCTAACCCCATCCTATCTCTCTCCTCTCCTTCCTTCCTCCTCATCTCTCCCCAATCACTCCATTCACCCCTCTCTCTCACTCTCCCTCCCTCCTCCTCGTCTCTCCCCAACCCACTCTCAACCCACCCTCTCTCTTCCCTCTCTCTCACTCTCCCTTCCTCCCACCCTCATCTCTTCCCATCTCTCCCCCACAGGCCCCCTCCCTTCCTACCTCACCGTCCCTACTCACCCCTTCCCAACCATTCCAACCCACCTCTTTTCTCCTCTCTCTCACTCTCCCCTTTCTTCCCCCCCTATCTCTCCCCATCTCTCCCCCAACCCACTCCAACCCACCCTCTTTTCTCCTGTCTCTCCCTCTCCCCTTCTCCCCACCCTCATCTCTCCCTCTCTCTCCCCCACCCTCATCTCTCCCCCCCTCATCTCTCCCCCACCCTCATCTCTCCTCACCTCCCCCCAATCCACCTCTCTCTCTCCCTCTCCCTTCCTCCCCACCCTCATCTCTCCCCATCTCTTCCCCACCCTCATCTCTCCCTTCCTCCCCCACCCCTCTCTCCCCCCCTCCCCCCAATCCACCCTCTCTCTCCCCTTCCTCCCCACACTCATCTCTCCCCATCTCTCCCCACCCTCATCTCCCCCACCCTCATCTCCCCCAATCCACCCTCATCTCTCCCCCACCCTCATTCTCCCCCACCCTCACTCTCCCCCACCTCCTCTCCCCCAACCCACTCCAACGCACCCTCTCTCTCTCTCCTCTCCCTCATCTCTCACACTCCCTTCCTCCCCAATCCACCCTCTCTCTCCCCAATCCACCCTCATCTCTCCCCTTCCTCCCCCACCCTCACCTCTCCCTCACCTCTCCCCACCCTCATCTCTCCCCATCTTTCCCCCACCCTCATCTCTCCCACCCTCTCTCCCTTCCCCCTCCCCCACCTCTCCTCTCCCTCACCTCCCCACCATCCACCCTCTCTCTCTCCCTCTCTCCCTTCCTCCCCACCCTCTCTCCCTCCACTCTCTCTCACACTCCCCTTCCTCCCCCAACCTCATCTCTCTCCCCCACCCTCATCTCTCCCCCACCTCTCCCCCACCAGGCCTTCTGCGCCGAACTCCCCGTCTTCCTCCGCGAGCACTTCAACGGCATCTATCGCGTCGACGTCTATTACCTCAGCAAGAACGTGGCCGAGTTACCCTTTGGTATCGTGTTACCTTTGATCTTCACGTCCATAATGTACTTCATGGTCGGGATGAATCCTCTGGTGGGGAGGTTCTTCGCCACCGTCGGAATCCTCATCCTGGTGGCTAATGCGGCTGTTTCCTTCGGTGAGGATGTGGTCTGGGTTGTTTGTTGTTGTTGTTTAAAAAAAGATGTAACCCCGGCCTCTGTTCTGTGTTGTTTGTTGTTGTTGTTTATAAAAGATATAACCCCGGCCTCTCTGTTCTGTGTTGTTTGTTGTTGTTGTTTAAAAAAGATATAAACCCGGCCTCTCTGTTCTGTGTTGTTTGTTGTTGTTGTTTAAAAAAAGATCCGGCTCTCTGTTCTGTGTTGTTTGTTGTTGTTGTTTAAAAAAAGATGTAACCCCGGCCTCTCTGTTCTGGGTTGTTTGTTGTTGTTTAAAAAAAGATATAAACCCGGCCTCTCTGTTCTGTGTTGTTTGTTGTTGTTTAAAAAAGATATAAACCCGGCCTCTCTGTTCTGTGTTGTTTGTTGTTGTTTAAAAAGATATAACCCCGGCCTCTCTGTTCTGTGTTGTTTTGTTGTTGTTTAAAAAAGATATAAACCCGGCCTCTCTGTTCTGTGTTGTTTGTTGTTGTTTAAAAAGACATAAACCCGGCCTCTCTGTTCTGTGTTGTTTGT